CCGTGCTCATCTCCTTGGTAACATACACCTCCGCTCCAAAAACACATGTATCATCCACAAGGTATCCACTGGCGACATCATTGAATGTTCTGAGTGGCAGGAATTGATCGAAGCCCCATTGATTTCTCAATCCACGGAAGCGTCTTTCCTTTTCCGTAGCATCTAGGCATGACAGTTTTTAGAGATTAATTAATACTGTTCTTCGCAGTGGCAAGACTAGATGAATGTAATACAGATGCTTCATGTAATGAGTAAATTATATGAAGCCAGGGAAACTAAGAAGTTCGGAGGATTAATTGAGATTGTACCATGAACGACCAAATAATTGTCCTGATTCTGATCAAGCAAAAACAATTTGAAACTGTCACAGACCTCCGAACTGCGTGAATCTGTATCAGCAATTGCTAGATAGAGAGAGATGTAGTCCTTGACATTCCTACTTTTATTTCCACTTGGGTAGAGAACCAATTTCCTGCATATGTATTCACAGAAAGAGAACTAAGTCTCCACTTGAGAAGAACGCATTTAGTTGTAAATCATAAGGCAAAATAAAGTATGTGATTTTGTAGTGAAGAAAAAGAGAAGTAGAAAACCTTACCATTTGTCGCCTCCGGCCTCAAAATCTCCAGATTCATATTTTTCTACCGAGTTTTTCAAAAGCAATGAGAATAACTGTATCTTGACCACATAATGTGTTGGTGGGGCATCTGATATAGATCTTGCCACACCTACAATAATATATAATTGTAGCTATATTAATGCCACTATACCATTTAAGAACAGGAAAAAATTAATGAGCATAAAATTAATAGAGTAGAATTTGCAATGGAAAATGAATTGAGAAAGACAGCTACCATCTTGGCTATTAGAGACAGGATTACTTGCCATGGGACAAGATTTGATTTGGAATTCTGGATACAGCAAGCTCCCTATTTATAATACAGATCAAAAGGCTGGTACTCCAAATTTAAAAAAGTTTGTTCAAGGATTGAAATTCCTTATCCTTTTCTTGGGGAGGCTGCTTAAGAATAGAAGAAAAAAAAAATATTAAGGATTCGAACTCTATATATATCCTTTGCTTAGAATGAACTGCTTTTGATCTATGCATTAGCAAAGTATCCATTCTTTGAATGAGCATTAATTCTGTGAGAAATGGTAAAGATATGTACATGAATTTCACAACTTTACTAATAAAGGAAAAAGACTTTTTTGCTTACTAATTAAGGCTATGCACTTTCTAAAGTTACTAATAAAGGATATGAACTTTTAGTTTTGACTAATCAAGGATTAAGTGAATGTCCAAGCTGACGTTGTTAAGTGGAAAAATCTCACATCCAGTATAAAAATAAGGAGTTTGTGGGTTAAATATAAGAAAGACTACTCCACTTATTGCCAATTGATTTTAAGTTGAATGCAAATCTTGTATTGAGTCTACATGCACAATTTTCACCGACGTAACAAATGAAATCTGTTAATGAGCCCCATAATTTATGCTGACATGTTAAGAAAATGAGTCATGCATGCTGAAGTTTGACAATAAATTGATAAACGAAATAAAAGACACTTGTGGGACTCACAAAGATTAT